CACACACACACACACACACACACACACACACACACACACACACACACTCACAGGAGTGAGTGAATAAGTGGGATTCTGTTTCTTTGTTAAATATAGGAGAAAAGTATGTTCCGCTTATTAGGTCCACATATTTCAGTAGGTTTTTTCCAGCCTTTGCAGACACAAGAGCAATATTGTTAGCTTGCTTTTGCTTTGAAGATACCAGGTTTTTTTTCTTTCTTTCTTTCTTTTGAATAAAAAAAAGGAAAAAAGAAGAAAAAACTGAAAGAGGGAAAGAAAAGCAGAGCCTCAAGTTGCTTTTTCAATTAGCAGAGTCTTTCTTTTCACAAGAAAGGTTGCAACAAGAGGGCTGCCTGAAAGCTTTCACCGTCCATGTTGAAGCGACAACCCGTGCCGGGTGCTACGTTTCCAGAACATCTTTCTCTGCACAGGCATTCTAAAGCGACTAAATGGACAAAGCGTCTTAAAAGGACAGCCTACTGTGCTTCGGAATCCAAGTGCGGCCGCCGTGGGCAGAGCTGCAGAAATCAGAAAGGCTCTTCCGGCTTTGTGCAGATCATCATTCAAGCATTTAAAAACCTGAAGTGTGTTCTTTCTATGTGAAGTGCACCCATTAATGCTAATGAAAGCCACACATTTACCTCAAAGCCATAAACGACGCCTCAATCTTCCCCCAGGAATCCGAGATGATAAGAACAGGTCTGGCCTCATTTCGCTTTTGTAGTGAGGCAGGATGGGATCATGGAGCTGGGGCGGAATCTCAGACAGCTTGAATATAAACTCTCCATTGGCTGACACCGCGGAAATCCTACTGTCAGAGTCTACACAGAAGTGCTACAAAACATGCTTCCTGCTTCATGTTTTTCTGATTTGTCTTTTTTTCTTCCACTCTGAAAGTAAAGGAAATAGTTTTTATTTTAAAAGTTAAAATGGATTTAACGTTTTATGTTTGTTTCCACGAGCACCACCCATTCATTTACACACTAACTCAAATCCACAGTTTTTCACAGGCTGGGATTAGAGGTTAGGAGATAACACAGGACATATCAAAGGCTTGGATAGAAAAATCATTCCGATCTGCATCTTTATTGGAAGGGCATTCTCATGTTCCGATTGGGGCAATGCTTCTGAAGTTGGTGGGTTGAGTGCACTTACAAAGCTTTATTTTCCAAGTGTTATCAAAGTCACTAGCTAAATCCTCATCATGGAGAGTGACAGGAGCCATTCACCATAAATGGATATCAGGAACAAGAATGACTTTTTCTTTCATTTTTTTTAAAAATCAGTCTATACTCTTTAATCTTTTTTCAAAGTCCAGTCGTCATTCCCTTCCTGGTCCACCCATTCCTTATCCCATACCTCCTTCCCTATCCCCAAAAGGATGTCCCTACTAGACCTCCCCACTTCTTGGAGCCTCAAGTTTCTCGAGGGCCAAGTGTGTCCTCTCCCACTGAGGCCAGACCAGATCAAACCAGGCAGTCCTCTGCTGTATATGTGTTGGGGGCTTCATATCAGCTGGTCTACGCTGTCTGGTTGGTGGCTCTGTGTCTGAGAGATCTCAGGGGTACAGGATAGCAGAGACTACTGGTCTACCTATGGGGTCATCCTCCCCCTCAGCTTCCTCTAGCTTTTGCCTAATTCAACCACATAGGTCCTGGCTTCTGTCCATTGGTTGGGTGTAAGTATCCTTTCAGCTGCTTGTTGTGCCTCTCAGAGGGTAGTCATGCTAGGCTCTTGTCTGTAAGGACATCACAGAGTCAGTAATAGTCTTTGGAGTCCACTCTTGAGCTGGATCCCAATCAGGGCTGGTCACTGGACCTCCTTTTCCTCAGTCTCTTCTCCATTTCTGTTCCAGTAGTTCTTTCAGACAGGAACAATTCTGGGTCAGAGTTTTGACTGTGGGATGGCAACCCCATCCCTTCACTTGATGTCCTGTCTTTCTACTGGAGGTGGGCTCTACAAGTTCCCTCTCCACTGTTGGGTATTTCATCTAAGGTCCCTTCCTTTGAGTTCCAAGAGTCTCTCACTTCCCAAGTCTCTGGTACATTCTAGAGTGTCCCCCACTTCCTACCTCCTGAGGTTGCCTGTTTTCATTTTTTCTGCTGGCCCTCAGAGCTTCAGTCCTGTTCTTCCTCCATACCTGATCATGTCCCCCTTTCTGCCCCTGTCCTCTCTCCCAACCAGGTCCTTCCCTTATTCCCCCTCCCCCACCTGTGATTGCTTTCTTTCTCCCTCCCAAGTGGGATTGAGGTATCCTCACTTGGGCTCTTCGGCTTGTTAACCTTCTTGAGTTCTGTGGATGTATCCTGAGTATTCTGTACTTTTTGGGCTAATATCCACTTATGGGTGAGTACATACCATGCAAGTCCTTCTGGGTCTGAGTTATCTCACTCAGGATGATATTTTCTAGTTCCATCAATTTGCCTGCAAAACTCAGGATGTCTTCGTTCTTAATAGCTGAGTAGTGTTCCATTGTGCAAATGAAGCACATTTTCTGTATCCGTTCTTTTTTTTTTTTTTTTTTTTGGTTGTCTAGACAGGGTTTCTCTGTGTAGTCCTGGCTGTCCTGGAACTCACTCTGTAGACCAGACTGCCAGACTGGCCTCAAACTCAGAAATCCGCTGGCCTCCCAAGTGTTGGGATTAAAGGCGTGCACCACCACCGCCCGGCCCTGTATCCATTCTTCTATTGTGGGACATCTGGGTTGTTTCTAGCTTCTGGCTATCTCAAATAAGGCCAGTATGAACATAGTGGAACACATACCCCTGTGACATGGTGGGGCATTCTTTGGGTATATGCTCAAGAGTGGTATAGCTGGGTCTTCAGGTTACTTTGAGAATTTTAAGATAGTTTAGCATTTTGCTCTACAGGTGGAGAGAGGCTTTGTGTGTGGCAGGGTTAACAGGACCTTGGGTGTTTCAAACACAGGCTCTGGTGATTCAGCCTGTAGGTTAAAGGCCCAAGATTTCTACCTTCCCTCTATGGGACTTTCATGCATGGGCCTTCATTTGTTGAGCTGTGGAATCTAGGGGTCTCTTACACTTAAGTCTGCCCTCATAGTCTCCAGCCTACACAGCACTATGAAATCCTTCAGGCCTAGCTCAAGAAGCAGGGACATCTCCTCAGCTGATGCAGGCTGGCTTACCACTCTTCCTCAATACCTCAGTCCAAACAAAATGCTGCAAATTGCACTAATCCCTGGAGTATATTATTATCATTATTTTGAATAAAAATTTCTATCCATTTAAAATTTATAAAAAGTGTGAAAGATAAAGTGAAAAACATTCAGTTTCCACCATAAAGAATAAAACAAAACAAAACTATATTATATTCTAATATTTCTTATCCTGTAATACATTATATATGTAACATATGCAATATGTTATATTGCTTATCCTGTTTGTTAAAGAGGGGAGCAGTAACAAAACTAAAGTCCCTTCAATCCCACTCTAAGTTACATCTGACACTGATTACCCAGGAGCATCTCTTGTGAGAAGTGGGCCGCTTTACAGCTCACTGGAATGCAGTGGCTATATACGACCTCTCTGTATAGCTCTTATTTTATGTGTTCGGGTGTTTTTTTCCTGCATATATCTCTGTACTTGGTATTGTGTTTATAAAAAGATAAAGAGATAAAGAGCATGTTCTGTGGGTGTGTGGAGAGGTATGGCGGAAGGGGATGTCTCAGTGGACCCATGCCGAGGCATCTCTTTCCCCTGAGGGACCAGCCACACACCTGAGTTTATTCAGGGAATGGGGAGGGAAGCCAGGAGGGTAGCAGAGGCAGAGAGAGAGAGAGAGGGGG